CGGGCACGCAATGTTTGGGTTACTTATTTGATATGTACAATCTTTATTGCTTTATTGATAAAACAATAAACAACCCAGGCCTCCATACGTATAAGATGTGTGCGTGTAGTTTGGAAAAGGGAGGGAGATCGGACAGTTGAACACAATAAGCGCAAAAAGAATTAATCATATGAAAGGTTATCATTATTTTTGTACATAAAAATTGTTAGCTGGAAGGAATAGTTTTGGACATAACCTAACTTCTTTCATGATGAGAAAACAAAAGTCAAGTTAGAAACAAAACAGCACTACATAATCATTCGTCATCATAATAAGAACAAAGAAATTAGTTTTTTTCGAATTTGTTCCTTTACTCTGGCTTTCTTTTCCCCTCTCATATGTTTTATAGATAACATAACATAATAACTTATGAGTCAACATCTTGAGAGATGAAAACAAAAGGAATGAAACTATTTTTATTACACAAAGATCAGTTCAAGATTTACCCAAAAAAAATTTAAAACTAACAATCTAATCATCATGATTTCCAGTTGATTTATTGCGAAAAAAGAATTATTTTTAGTTGTCAATAGTTCTGGCATATTTATGTATATTTGTTCCATCATTTATTCATTGATTGGTTGATTTAATTCACTGCTTATGAGAAGTCATACCATAATTATGATTATTTTCCTTAAACCTATGGGTATCAAAATGTAATTTCTATAAAGAAAAGTATATGAGTATAATTCTGCATTTGTATATCGACGGTATACATGATCAATAATTAAAATTGGATGCATAAACTTATTTTTTTCTTCATTCTACTGCCAGTACTAATTGCAACTAACACCAATAATACTACTCACTATATATTCGATGTCCAATTTTTTGTTCGGGTATTATGATACCAGAGTAACAAATGAGATGAACCAAATGTAGATTATGTAGACTGACGTTTTGAATACTATTTTTGTTTCCCTATTTGTGATCAATAAATTTTTGAGATAAACTATACTATCATTGAATTTTATGATATACCATGATGTATCTGTGTTTTTCAGTTTTGATGATAGATCATTTATCCATTCATTCATTCATTTATTTGTTTGTTAATTAACTGATGTATTAACTTATTATCTCCTAATTATGTTTTGATAATGACAAAAAAGTGAATTTTCAAATTAAAATAAAGTGAACCTATGAATCAAACCATAACAAAATTAAGTGATCTGAAAACAGTGGGTTTTTTTTTATATCTAAGCTGAGTAATGCTCTTTTGCAAGTTGGGTAAATCTGAAAAATGAACCAAGCAAATAGAGCGAAAGTAAGTCGAAACTGTGATCGAAAGTCTCTGTTTATACGCCTACAATTTGGATGTGATGCATTCAGCGAAACGCTAGGGCTAGTGCACAAAGCATTTCAAAGAACCTTTAATAAAGGGAAACTATAATTATCGTTTTCTACACGTCCTATGGTTCCTCAGAGATTTAAAGTTAAGTTACCTAGACAACCCACCTCCGTATCTATCCATGCAACTGCTCTTCTGGGACAAGATACATTGGCAGGGGTTCTAGGGATTTGTATTTTCGTTGTTGAGAGCACCTGCCAGTGTATTTAAGTAAAGGCATAGTTAAGACTGTTAACGCCTTGACTCTATCTAATTTAGTATAAACAGGTCATACGGATAATATGAAACAATCAATTATAATATATATATCGTGTTAATAGCCATCTTCTTGAATCTGTCAGACTAAGACTCTTTATATCGGCTGAAGTGGTAGACATTCGCACCAAACAACCTGAGTTCTGCATCCAGAAAATATATGTTTAACCCCTTTTTCACCTTGACGAACTTCTGGTCTAATTAGTCAACAAGAGTTTTGATGACATGATGAAATAGTTTGATTAGTGTAGATAAAACCTTCCTATTTGTATTTTCACAACTTAAACTTATCTTAACATCGTTGAACCTCACCTCAGTGGCTAAACAGATTAGAGGTTAAGTGTTCGCATGAGAAACCAAAAGTCTTGATTGTGATTCCCGCGTGCAGGGTTGTGAATGTGCGCACTATTATCTCTCTCATTGTATGTTATCTATATTCATTCAAAAATTCATTTGACTTATAAACCCATTCAAGTTAAGACTGCATATTGGTCATCTCAAAATTAATAATTTTATTTTACTTTACAAGTAATCCCGAACCTGAACGCTATAAGTTGAAACGATGTACTTTGCCTGAGACATGAGAATTTTTTGGTTTATTAACTTGAGTACATAAATGTAGAATCTGAAAAAATTCATTGGAAGGAATATTTTTTTACATATATCAGTGTTTTAATTTTTATGCATTAAAGTTAGCTTAGACTAGGTTAAGTTGAAAACCTCACATTTGTTTACAGCAACAGTCATTAGGATTAATTTCATATCAGTAGAAACACCCGAATAATTGGTTGAACTAATAACTACATTAACTCTGGTCAGTACGAAAACCACTAAACATATTTTTTAAACAACATGGAGTTATAAGACTTATTTTTACATTTTACACCTGGTCATTGAAATATGATCATCACTAAAGATCAGGTAACACGATACTGTTCACTGTCAACCAGTAGACTCATTTAGCAACATAACTAACCAACCATTTATTATTTTCTTTCACCCCCCCCCAATAACACTGGCGTTTTGTTCCGATAGCGAGTGACAGTCACGTGCTTCTTATCTTTAAGATATACATCTCAAGAATTGATAAAATTCTGCTTGTTTAACTGGTAAAAATGAATTTATATTTTTAATATTAATAGTGATAACCTAAGTAAATGATTAAGGTCTAAAAAAGTTGGATAAAATCTAGGTTGATATAAAAATAATAAAAAAATTGGTAACGCAAGATTCCACTAGTTAAGTTAACCAGGACCTAAGCTCTCTTGCTTAAAGTTCGAATACATAGGAAACACACTAAAAACAGCTAGTCATATCAGTTACTAAAGTAGTTCCTCTCCGTAATCAATTATGCAAGTTAATGATTGGCATTACTGATTAAATTATATATATATATATATATATATATATATATATATATATATATATAATGGCATTTATGGAAGGATTTCTTGAAAAATCACATTCATAGTATAGACCATCTACTCTTCCAAACAAAAAACCAAATAACCGTTTATAAAATTTGATGATTTCTATCTATATTTATTTTCCAACGTATGTTATTTAATTGGAAATTCATTCCAATTAATTCTAATACATCACTGTTATCAAAATGATGAAATAAATGATACATGATACTGGTATCAATTATTGATAATAGAATTATTTTCACTACATTTATTATTTCCAAGTAATTCTTTCTTTTATAATCTAACTAGAAAACGCCCTTTGCGTTAAACGTAACAATTCACCATTACATGTTGCCATCATGAGGTTTGAAGCCTTTAGTCATAAACTTGTATATAATGGATTGTATTTAACAATAAAAATGTGTGAAACTATTCAGTGCTTCCTAATTTTTAATATTAACCTAATTTTATGTCAGTGCATGAAGAAAACTAGCTTTAAACTTTACTCATCTCGAGAACTAACTCCTGAAGTTCTAGTGAAAAGTCTTGACCGGAAGAGTTCAACCAAATCGGTGTCAGATAAATATTACCAATGGTAACGAATGATGATGGTGAGATATCACGTATTGATCGAAGTTAGGAATATAAATTGTTGGATCGAAACTCAATGATCTGAAGGTTAAAATCTAATGTGGTTGTTACTGAGTACGGATGAGGAGACCTTTACTAGTATAAAGTACCTGTTCAGTACATCCTGGTGTCCAATGATCTCAGAATGAATCCGGCTAGTGATGTGAAGTTACTAAGTAAATATTTTTGTTGTCAAGAGATATAAATCAGAAGGAAACAAAGAGTAAACAAACTAAATTAATAACAATAATATGACTCATCATGAGAAATAAGGTTAGAAACTCATTGCCTCAGCCTTATATTATTCACCCGACCTTACAGCTTCTCCTACACTTTGTCTAAATACTTGATGGCTTATGCTTTACAATGAAACCAGAAAATGTAGAATTTCGGAAGCAATATTTGGGAAATGTATCTAGTTCCCAAATTTCAACTTGTCTTAATTATAATTTTAATTCACATATACTGGTTGTTTGGATCTTCCCTCTGATATTTAGGACTGTAACTGATAAGTCCTTTTTGATATATGTGCATCATTTGCTAGACACCTCGATATCGCCAGTAAGTTACTAGAATTTTGAGCTGAAATGGATGGTGGCCAGCAATTGAATCCATTACACGAGCCGGGACTGTCTAGACTCAATAACTAAGTAGATAACGGGATAGAGTATGGGGCGAACAGTACTGGGTTCGAGTCACGAGTGAGCATTAACTCTGGCATGCAGGCACATCCACGCGACGATACCCAAGGAGGAAGAAACGCGAGTCTTAAATTTCACTGCTTGTCACTAACCATTTCTGCTTAAAATGCTTGCCCTAACTATATTATACTAAAAACGAGTTAAACAATGACTCATGAACGATTGGTTTATTTTTATTAGGTAATCCTATTTACATGGTTAAACAATTAATTTTGCATATTAATCGTAGTATTGAAATAAACAACGTTTTAAAGCTTGAACAGTTGTCATTTATGATGAAAAGATTTAATATAATCAATTTTATTTTATAGTCACAATTTTGAATATATATATATATATATATTCTCTTTCTGATATACACTGCATAAATGAAGGGAGCTAAAAATCATGGTGATTTCTGGTAGACTTTAGAACTTAGCAATATCCAAATTTTCATTTCTAGTTACATTCAGCATCAATTTCTTTGTTAAGTCAATAATAAATAAAACAGAAAAATTATCTCTAACTTTACGGAACATAAAATGGTAACTAATTGATCAAGGTTGTATTGAAAGACCTTACTGACTTTATACAATATGGTATAAAACTAATGTAATCATGACTATGAAAAATTACCTTCGAAAATACGGTGTCACTTCATGCATATGCTTTACTTCTAATTCAACAATTCGTCCAGCACGTTTTAACGCTCGAACTGCTTCATCATGTGTACTATTCCGTAGATCTTCACCGTTTACAGATAATATTGCATCACCAACATTCAGTTGACCAGTTTGTTCAGCTGCCATACCCTGAATGAATGAAAGTGAAATAATAAATATTTATTTGACCAAAATGCCGTGCATCATCTCTAAAAAATTAAGAGCTAAGAGAATTACCAATGTATTTTTTCTGATGAGCTTAGATCTGATCTATTTGCACTTGTAAACAAAACTACTTTATGCAACCACCTGACGGCTTTCACTTATACAAACATATGTGTACACATCCGCACACATGTCAGGATAACCATATTGAGATCATCAAACGACTGATTAATTCAATATAATACAAATAGGATATCATGACAAATATGATTACTGATATCTTCAGATTTTAACGTTTTGTAACAGAATTAAGAAGTTTTATTCATTCATTTATTAGAGATTACTTCATTTTTTCGTGAATAACGTGACCAATGACAACAACTGCAACTGTCATCTAGTTTACACTAAATTTTGATACAAACGACAATACTTACTTGACCATTTATATTATTCCTCGTCACATGCATCTTTTGAAGGTGCCTATTAATTAATATTACATTTAATAGATCCCAATCACAGATCATCAAAATATTTAAGTGATTTAAATAAATATTTACGATCACACTTTTGGGTCTGGAGTAACCAATCATAATGTGATCAACTAGTCAATCTTTATTACTTTGAATCGTAAATTTCGTCGCAATCACTGAATTTGATACGTGAGAAGAGTGCCGTCTTAAAAAAAACAGGCAAGTACAATTTTTATCGTTTATTTCTACATTATATAATAGGGTCCACAGATTATCAAAGGTTCTTAAATTTCATAAATGTTTCAAGCTAATTAAGTCATCTCTGTGTAAGAAATATTAAAACCATACAATGTGAATCAACTCAACCCATTCATTCTTTCTAATCAGGCTAAGAGTAATAATGGATTACCGCTATAATCCTGAGGTTAAATGCAGAACTCAGAAAACACTCAATCATTTTCCTGTTCATTCAGTAGATGAGCATTTATATTACAACGTCATTTTCATAAAAAAATTTATGTAAACCCGAATACACACTATATTTGGGTTTATCATCCAGCTTGTTGGGCTGAACTCCGTTGGATATATCCGAAGCAGAGTCACGGACCTGTCAGGACTTCCGCTGAACACAAAGGATAGTAACTAACTTCCATAAGTATACTTAGTAACCTCATATTTACAGTTGTTGACAAAACTAACTGATTATCATCTTGAAATCAGTATGAAGCAGGTTGTTTTTTAGATCATATTTATTCATAAACAACATGAGACCTCAATAACAAGAGACACGTTCTCGGCTTCTTAAGTAACTTGTCTTAATCATCTTTACTCTGCCTCATTCTACAGTACGTACAAGTATACATCGTTACGTAATATCCTCTCCTTTTGTCTTCTCAGATGGCATGTAAATAGTTGTCATGAGGACTAATAACAAACAATAATAATAGTAACACAATCGATCCCTAACTGTCTCCCGGTTTGTATATCCTTCCTTGTTAAGATGTTGATAATTTAGGACTGTACTTTGAAAATTTAAAATCGATCTCGAAACTAAGAACGGTACTATTATTATGTAGAATTATAGGTTACATCTTCTTAGACTATAAATTATTTCATGAAACAAGTTAGTCTTATCTATAAACTTGTCAATGAAAGTAAAACATGTTTGTAATATTCCAGAGGAGTTCAAACGGCCGTGAATAAATTTCCTAATCTGAATTTACAATTATACACATCTTTTTATGTGAATAAAAGTATAGTTTACTTTCTTATTTTATACTGAAAACTTTTGAAGATGAAACGATTTTGATTACGTGCTCCTTACATTGATAAGTCGATTCCTTGATAGGTTAGCTTGCATGACTCGTTGGTTATTGTGAAAGATAGTACTCTTGAAATATTACATAACTTTAACTTTTCATTTAAGGCAACACAAAAATTATTCATAAAATTAGAAAGATACTATTGTTTAGTGAGAAAAAATTAATTAATCCAACTGGTTTCATCAAATTAAGTTTTAAGTACACTTGTGTGAGATCGCTTCCCTTTTTTTACGATAAACTTGAATTATTATACATTTCAGATTGCGTAAAAAGCTTCTTTGTGCTTAATTTACTTAAAAACTGAGGTTTTTATAAATTATTTTGAAATATTTAAAAAAATGTCATTTTTAATGCTACTTTACATCGACAATTTGGATATACATTACCATGATATTTCTCAGCAAAACAGACACTAGTTAAATAATTATTCAGCAGTGGTAGTATTTTTTTCACTTACCTTAAATATTTTACTGATTAGAATTGGTGTCTTATTTTCTCTACCACCTTTAATACTGATTCCTAGACCATTTAGTTCTTCTTTTGTTATACGTACCAGACGTTTTGCAGTGGAAATATCTTCTGGTACAGAAAATATGTATAAGCATATAGTATAAATTATGAGAATGGTGAAGAATGATCAAGATTAAGTATTTATTCTGACTTAAGCATGATTGTAATAAATTTGCGATAAATATAGTTCTTAAACAGAAAATTTGTGTAGATTGTTCACTTAAAAAAATGTACCTGGTCATTTCGTCAGTATGTACTTCTGAGAAGTATCAAATTAAAACGATACAGCAGCCTGATATTTCTTGATTTTGAATACTTTTTCAACTGAAGTCAGTACATGATTAAAACTACTTATAAAAGGTAGTAGCATGTAATTAAAGTTTAATTCTGGAGGTTTAAAACGATTAATCCATTTGACAAATTTAAGTAGTTCGATGAGTAGATGATTTTTATTAAAACTATGTAATATATGAAGCTAATACATATTTCATCTTATCTCTAGTTTGATACTTGTCATCCATATTTGAATATCTTGAAATATGGGGTTGTGGAGATTACTAGGCTTTTAATTGAGATCATAAATCGATTGGTTTTAGACCACCATGAAAAACCTGGAAGCACTGGACAGCCGTTTCGTCCTATTGAGGGACTCCTCAGCAGTGCGCATCCACGATCCCGCTCGCGGGCCTCGAACGCAGGGCCATCGGTTTCGGGCGCGATCGCTTAACCTCTAGACCACTGAGCCGGAATCCAACGGTGTTAATGTCTAACCTCAACCAATCCACGAAATAAATGATTAGATAGTTCCAAATTTATTTCATCTAGAAATCACATTTGTTCTGATAAACTTAATTTTTAGAGTTTAATTTTAGAAAGAATATGATGAACTAGTCAAAAAGAATTCATTTCAATGTTTGCAATTACGGTATAACAATTACTCAACTAACTAAAGAAATCCAATAAGTTATTAAGAAAGAAAGGCGGTTCAGTAAATCAAGTTTTCTTTATGAATATGTCATTTATTGTTTAATAATTCTGTTTAGTAGACCTGCTTCCAAGAACTTCATCCTATGTGAACTTTGTAAACTACTTACTCCATATTTCACCAATAAAGTTTTCAGTTTTTTTGTCAAAAATTTCAGCAACACTCTGTTTTAATATGAAAAATTATTTAATCATACTTTGTTATTTTTTATGTAAACAAAATACATACATAAGTTTTAAAAGTGGTACACTTAGTGAATATCCCATTGAATACACTTCATGAACTGCAATTTTATTTGATAGTGGTAAATATGACTTCATTTGAATTATAATGACTTAGTTTAAAAATTTAAAATTCATTTGATAGTATTTTCTATTGGAGAGGATAAGAGTACGTTACTTTGAGGTTTCATAAGTGTTATTAATGAATCTCAGTAGGCACTAAATCAATGTTTGAAACATTAGTTAGTTTTTAGTAACAGAATAACTAACTTGGCCCTTTTACAAATGATAGGAAGATACACTTGAGTTACTTATTAGTAATATTTATGATATAGGAGCCATGTAGCATAGGTTTAAATTCATGTGGCACTGTGAATGTCTTCATGATTTCAATAAATACTAAAATTGACAAAATACTGTGTTAAAACTATCAGTTAAGTTGGTTTTCCAATCCGTAATGAATATAACTTCATTTATTAATAATACAAATTCAGAACTATTGTTAAATTAGACATGCTGATAACAACAGAGTTAATCTTTTTATGAGGGTTATATGAACTTTGAGTTTATACTAATCACAATACAATACTAGATTTTATACAAGATTAAATTTTATGAGTCCAACTAACATGCTGTAAATCAAACATTATAAAAGAAATTATCTGACAGTATGTTCAAGACAAATTAATTAAAATGAAATAATAGAAATTCAACGACAAATTAATCGGGTGATTGTTAACATAGTTTTGTTTTAGAGGTTCACTGAAATTTTCAGATACCTGCAACTATATATATGTCATGTGCTAATAATCATATGGAACAGCCTGAATTATATTAATTTGAACGTTAATAAAAGATAGACTTTCTTCGACATTTTTATTCTCTATTTATTTGTCTCACTATTTATCTCTCTTTATTAATCAATAAACATTTACTTTTAGTCGCATTGCATGATTATTCAGCCGTAAAACATTAAAATATTAAAAAAATGAAATCATATAATGATAAATAGACAGAATATTCTTGATATGATTTAGATTAGAAAGCAGTTTTTTATTACTTCATACGTCACATGCACTTAATGATATCTCGATGAGATGGCGTTTTAAAAATATGTTCCGTCAAACATTAATATCAGCTGAAATAATCATAGTAATATGAGAAGCATTCAATATATTTCAGACTTCTTACAAGTGAACACTTAAAAAGTTTTGTGAGATCAGATCTACAACCTACAAATTTCACGGTTAATGGTATAGTTTAATCAAACTTAGTGGTTCACTGATATTCTGCTAACCACGAAAACTGGAGACAGTGAGATCTCGAAGTCAAAGGTGTATGTTACTAAGGGTATTTTAACGAACACTTTACTACTTTAGTTTTGACTAGTTCGCTGATAAACGTCGAATGTATGGTACTTTAAAAGCTATGGTAAACAATAGAATAAAAAATAATACATGACCTTTAAAGCCCGTAGGAATAAATTATTTTCATAAATTTGGAGATTCATATTAAAATGAGCTATTTTTGCAGTACTGTTTAAGTAAAATTATATGCATTAATATATCAAGTGAATAAAGCATAGCTAGATGGTTGACCCAATCTTTTCTTACGTCATAATTGTTTTCGAATTGCGATTTCTTCTTTCAAATCTTTTAAGAAGCATTTGAAAACTTATTCGTTCAATTCTAAAGGATATATTTACCCTCAGGATAAAAAATCAGCAGAATTGATGATAAATTAATCATTATTAATTTATCTTTACAGTGGACACTGAATTCTGTGACTTGAGCAAAATCCAAGAAAAACTTTAACAAATAATTGAAACAAATTGCTTCTAAGTATTTTACTGTCAGACCTTTAGTAAATTTAAATGATAACGCAGTAAATACAGTAAATACATAAAAAATATCAGAAGACGGAAACATCACTGCATCATCTTCAGGACTGTAGATAAAAAGACGTTCAGAGATGATTTAACGAGATCTACTGCAACCATCGTCGAAAAGAAATAAGGTATCAATAATCAGTGATTTAGGCAAGATTATTCACATAATTTGGTCGGACACCATCAGCACTAACCTATTATAAAGGGGAAATTAGGAAAAAACATTGGAGGTGGATAGACCACATTACAGAAATTTTCAAAGTGCATAAGGAACCAAGCCCTAACTTGGGATCCTCAATGAGAAAGGAAACGTGTCAGACCAAATAACATATTGAGCCTGGAATTGTAGGTAGACATCAAAAGAATAAATAGCACTTGTGAACAACTGGAAAGGAAAGAATGGGAAAGAGTTGGTCGAAGAATGCTTGTCAGTGAGCTATGCTCCACGAGGATAACAGAAATAAGTAACTGGACAAGTAGTATTGCAACAAATGCGTTCTTCAAGTCAGTCCACACGAATGTCATACTGCTACCATAACAACAAATCTAAGACACAGTAAAAACATTTACGCATAAGCGCTGTTCATAAAAAATAAAACTAACCCCAAAAATTGACCTTATAGAGGGTTAAAGGATAAGGTTGTCCATTTTATGGAAGAGCAGCTTTTCTCATGATCTAATCAAAAATGTCTACCCATAGTCTTGGAATTATTTATAGGCATCAGAAAAAGCGTCAATTAAGTGATTACTAATCCTACTCAATATAAATGCAGTTTACTAAATTAAAATTACTTTACTATACAACAATTTGCTTTGTATTGCTCCTTCACTGTGAAACATGGTCTTTGAAAGACTTCAGGAATTTTTTCATCGGTATCTCTGTAGCATTGCTCATATATGTTTGGACTATCGAGTGAATAATGTTGAGGTCAGCCACATGGTACTATGAAAGGTTGGTAAGTCGGTTGATGGGGTTGTAATTTCTCATCGACTGAGGTTTCTAGGACATGCGTCACGTATCCCTAATCATCGACCACCTGGATGGACGATGTTTTTTGATGTGGTAATAGGTTAGAAGAAATCTAGGCTCGACCAAGCCAAAACGCGGCATCAGTCATTAACTGGTTATCTGAACCATGTTGATTGATGTAGACTACGTGGTTGGGGTCAGTGTGACAACTATTATCTGTGGTTGAATACACTGGGTGACATGTCACAAAATCAGTCACCGTGGAGCGGACGCACTCGCCCTTTATAACTGAAACTAGTAAAAAGGAAAGTCAGTTTCACTTAAAATCATAAATAAAAATATATTTGAGGTTATTAGAAACATTCTAACTGTTCAATTTCCTATGTTCTTGTTCCCCACTGGCAAAGTAATATTGGGAACTTCAACACCGTCACTCTCTGTAACTCCATTCACCATGAAGCTACTCAGCCTAAAGTACAGAGGTGCTATCAAGATACTTAGCATGGTTTGGCAAGAACATATCAATGACCGTTCTGATAATAAGAAAGCTAATAACAACAATAATAATTGTTGTTGTGTTTTTAAGCCCGTCTAGTTATCACATGGTTTATTCGCCAATCGAAATACAACTTATTCAATCTTAGTACGCTTGACCGGTATGAACAGCCTAGCGTCCTTATTGGTCCTTTGCTTGCCTAGTACGTTCAGTTGAATCCAGAACACCAATAACAGCCCACACTATGCGAATCATTTACTCCAAACATACTTGGTTTATATACAAGCCAAACAGACCTCATCACATCATAAAATAGGACATAACATTTATACAAGATTTGGCCAAAAAGTGACTGTGATTGTGGGAGACGGTAATTAATAAAATGAACATAAGTTAAGAATAATAAGTCGTATAATAGCAATCTATAGATCAAAATGAAGCTTATAATAAGAGGAATATAGATATACATAATCTAGTTACTGAACAGTTATACAACAGTAATTATATATATATATATATAATATTAGTCCATTAATAGTTTTCGGAAGTTAGCCGTAATTTGATCTTCACTAGGATATAACAATAGAATGATATTAGGAATCATTTTATTTTGCATACCACTGTGATGGGTGGTGCACTACCTATTTTAACACTTAGAAAAAAGCAAATGGAGCGAACGAATATTTGTTTTCACCTTTCCCTGAACTCTTAAATAAAACATTTGCAACACATCAAATTTAAACTAACCGTGATGATTGCTAGAAATACTTGGAGTGTGTTCTAATTCAATAACCAAAGCATCATTTTGTAGAGTTGCTTTGATAGGTATCCATGTATTACGGAGATATATTTCTAATTGTCCACTTATAACCAGACTATCTTGTGTAGACATTGCAATTTTTATTACTATTGTTATTATTACCGTTGATCAAATACATTTGATATAAGACTCACAAACACATCTACAAGTATACGATTCAAAAAGGACTATAATTAAAGCGAGAAAGTGAATGAATATGTCAAAATACATAGTTTTATAACCTTTCCATGTCACATAGTGGTGTGTTACGATCAAACAATGATAACTCATCACTTACAAACAATGATCAAACATGAAATGACCAGCTGCTTAGTGTAAAATCCTGGTGTTACATGTAAAGAGAACAATGAAGCATTTGACAAACATCGAGGATGTTCCTCTATTGACTATTATTAAATAATAACTAGATTATTAATTCATAATCCATTGAAGTGAACAATAACTTATCTGGTCTAAGCAATGGCTAAGAAGAACGTTCAAATTACGATTCAAATCAGATAATAGCTAATGGTAGAATCCGCTTAGCCACTAACCAGGTAGATGTCGATACAACCCCTAAATCTTATCGGGGTAATCCACTCAGGATGCACATGTATCAGTTGGGACTAACCAATTACAGATGTTAACAACGACGGGAGAATACAAACCCTTATTGTGTCGTCAGTGAAATAGTAGCATCACTCCGGACACAGTGAAATTTAAAGGTTTTATGCTTCTCAAAAGAATTTCACGAAATACACTTCAAAACTGATTATTTACGAAGATGAAGATCGTGTCATACCGCATATCGGCTGGGATTTATCTATTGACTTGTGGAAGTATCAGACTTATCACGAAACGTTAAGGTTTTAGATTTAAATTTCCGTGTGAGTTGTTGATGAGTACAGTCGAAGAGCCTCTAGCTAGAATTGAACTATTGTCCCATATTCTCCAGTTTTCAGTAGTTATCTGAAAAATCTCTGTTCGTGACGATATACATGTTCAAACTAGAGCAAAACGTCGTCAAAATATCGCTTGAATGAATAAATAAATATTGATGATCTCATCCTCATTTGTCAATAAATGACCAAAACGCCACATCTCACTGTTGACTATATTGTTTTGATAACTTTAAAACAGGTCCAGTTTCCTTGCCAACATTTTGCTTAAAAAGTATTTTGTAATGAGAAAACCTGAACTTTGTCTAGTGTTGTGTTCTGTCTTCTATTATCTGTTCATTTGTCAGGCTTTGATTCAACTAATTTCATCTTCAAAAGTGGTTATGACTGAGTCGTTATATCAACTGGAATAAGTAGTTATATGATTAACTATACATCTCCTACAAACTATTACAAAGTGAAATGGACGCTTCTCATCAAAATACTGTTACAAAATCAACCATTGAATCAAACCGTTCATATCTGCTTCGTATCTGCAGATATTTAAATTACCGTTCGAATACACCCGTCTTATGATTTTCTGTGAGTTTTCCAAACACAGTTGCAGTACAAATGTAACAAGACGTTTGTGAAGATGGACATTCTCCCATACTACCAACCACTGCTTTTGTAAACAGGATGAAATTTTGAATTCTCTCAGCCTAGAACAAAACGTTGTAAGCTTAAAGTACAAACTAGAAATCGTTCACCATGTATTCACAATACATGTCCTTTTAAGATCGGTAATAGACCTAAGACTATGTTCTAGTTATTTTATACGTTTTGGAACAGTTTCGATAAGCAACAAAACGTCTTTAATGCTTATCAATTTACGACTATTCATGGGACTGTCTTCCATTATTTAAACTCGGAATGTCACTCACAAACATCATAGCTCAGCTCGCTTTAGCTCCACAGACTGGTAATATCATTGTTGATTAAATATCAACGAGAAAGGTGTATAACATTGAAAGGCCGACGAATTCTTTCAAGATGGAATTTCGTTTTCAATGTTTTAACCAAAAGAAGTACTTTTTCATGCTGTTGAGTGTTGTGTCAAAGAACTGTAAAGTTAGGTAGATCATGACACTGTTGTATAATAACGAATATACTTTATGAACTTTTCTATTTGGGTTTTCTTAACCATCATAAATCTCTTACTTCTGTGACAGAATAGGTTCAAAAAGATGCACGAAATATCCTTTACATACATCTTTCAAAGAAATAACAGTAGTGAATTTGTATTGAATTAGCAGAGTGAAACTTATGAGGCCTTAATCAACGTCAACCCGTGACACTAATGACCACATCACTGATTTGACACCAGCAAATGACCAGTTATTCTTCGAAGTAATTACTAAGGTATCATAAACATCTAGATGACTTATTGGCTGTCTATCGGATGAGTAGATGAAACAATGGAGTTATTCAGCATGTCACTATATAAAGTGACTGTTTCATGACTGGATTTATTTTCATCTTCAACTATGATATAACAGAGTGAAATTTATAATGATATTTTACTTCCAGGCTTTATTGTTCTTAATATATCATAAGAAAATCCTTAAATCAATAGGAAAGATAACAGGACATAGTGGGAATAACCAACCAACTGCCACCAATCCAAACTCCCATTGAGCCTCACTGTGTTTATTAGACTCTCAAAACAACTTTCCGAATACGTTCACTCTAGTTAAGTAAACAATACAAATATGTTTATAAACACTGTTTTGAAATCATACTTAATTGAGAATAAAACTATCTAACAATAATAGTGCCATTAATGAATGACTAATTTATTCCGTTACCAAGTTGTTTAATAAATACCATTTACATCCTATAAAAATGAAAGGTTTTCGTCAAGAAAACACAACATCAACAACAACAACCACGACAACAGAGAGATTTCAATGCAGTTAAATGGCAACTCATGAATAATAAACTTAATAATTACAGAGAAAAGGATTAGGACAACATACCTTAATAATCTATTAAATACGTATGTGCACACAGTTATCTTGGTCAATTTTTACTCGTAGATAATTACTTGTTCGCTCTAATTGTTGAATATTCAATGCTAATTGTGATAATAATTGGCTTATATTATTATCTATGAAAATTGAAAATAAAGTCACAATTGCATATAATACGATTAATATTAATAATGCCAATAATTAAAGCGAATAACTGCAAATTGTATTTTTGGGTAAAAAGTGTATGATTATTCAAGTTGGAATAAGCAAAATGCTTGAATCACTCTGATCATGTCTCCACCCAACTTCAGTCAGAATTTCTATAACGAAAATTAAGTCTTTAAATTAGGAAGAAGATCAGATAGTTTGAATATGTAATATCCGAAGAAAAAGTTACCATCCTATAGTGTTTTATAAAACATGTGAGTGACTTTGATGATAAGGTATTTAGAGAGTGATGATTATACTTGAAAACTAGTCTCGAATTCTATGTAACATCAACTTATGGATGAATCATATTCTTGAACCCTTGTTTTCAATGTTCACATCCTACACTGTTCAGAACACGGATTCTACGAGTTCGAAATTTTGTAACGCGTAAGCTATCATAAAATCACTGGGAATAAATCATTTTTAATGCATATACATCTTTGATCGATTCATATTCAATAACTAAGTGATAGTGATTTCAAATATGAGAGATACACTATTATTATTACTGTTATTATTGTCAGACTGTCATGAGTTAATTATATTGCATCACCTTACTAATTCGTGCTAACGTCAAGATAACTAACCAATACCAAGTAGAACTAAGTTTTACCAAGCTGTCTAACGAGAAAGACAATACAGTGTGGACTAACCTAATGTTTAGAGGCGGTGGAATAGAAAATAAAGTAGTCAAGTTTCAAGCACTACATTACATGTCTACCATCTTCGGTTTGGGAAGTCGACCGGTTCCACTTTCCGTTCATACAACTTACCTCAAAGAATGATTCATGTAGTCTTAATACAAGTGATACGGAACAAACTGTGATCAATGTAGTTGTAAAATCAGTTTGAGGTATGTTGTATCTACACCTAACATCCGTAATTACCAGTAAGTAACGAGAGGAGAGGGTTTCCAAAGCAGATAAACTGTTATGTCTTACAAGCAAAAGTGAGTAAAACCCCTACAACTAAGATTCTTTGCATAAACTGACAACACCTTAACAATGTGTGTCATCCTCCCTTTTAAGCCTGAATTAGATAAACGTTTAAGAGTGTACAAACAAATTTGTTTAACCAATTTATTAAAGTTTTCATATTTCCCTGATTACTGAGAATAGGGTTATGAGGAAGAGAATTTGAAATATACTTGTCATACAGGTAAAGAATTACCTTAACTAAAATGTGATCAAACGGATGTCATCTACGGTGTATACTATCTGCTGTTCATTCCAAACGTTGATATATTTTGCTATGAAGATATCCTTAAATTTAGTTCATGAGTAAACATCTGGGGAGCAGATCGGTGACCTAAAAGTTTGACGGACTATACGCATCTGATTTGTTTTGCTGAAATGGATGATCAACTGTCAACCTGTCTATGTGTCATCTTGACGGTCTTTACGATCCTCTATCAGACTAGATTTATTTTAAAGGAGCTGCATTGTTTAATTTATTATCTACATTAAACTAGTTTTTCGAGAATTTAATTATATTCAAAACTAACATTTTTATAGGTCAGTTAAAGCATCATGTTTGCTATACTATATGCTAGTTGACAAACGATGATTTAAATGAATTTTGTTCCAAATAACAAGATATATGAAACTATATACTTATCACTACTCATCAGTTAAGTATCTTTTACACTCAAAGAAAAACAAGAATCATTAATCATAGTGTAATTAACCAGTCAATGCCATGATATTTAGATGTAAAATAACTATTAATACAAGAATTAATATCTAGATGATTTTCGAATCATGTAAATGACTAATATTGTTTATACACTCAAAAAGTAAAATAATTCATTTGTTTATAAATTTCGTTACGGGCTTACATCAACAACAATAGTCACAAAGCCCTGACGGCACTTAATACATATCACTTTAATCGATGACAGTAGATATCATTCTAAGACAATTTACGTTGAATCAAATTTTTGCAAGTTTATCATCACATATTAGTAACGACT